GGATGTGTGTGCAAAATTTCAGGTCATTCGGAGGTGTTTTGGTTGGGTTTTTGATCGAATGTGTGTTTCGGAAGTTTTAGAAGAACTTAGGCTTGAATCCGATGTAATTTGATGGTTTTGGTGTTGTTTGAGGTGTTTTGATGATTGGAGCAAGTTTGAATAATGTTTTAGGATGGGTTGGCACTTTTGGTTGAGGTTCCGGGGGCCTCGGGGTGATTTCGGATGGCTATCGGGATGAATTTTTGGACTTGTGTATTGCAGAAATTTCTGGTTCTGGTATTTCCGCATCTGCGGAATTGGGACCGCAGATGCGGTCTCGCAGATGCGGGAAGGAGGATCGTAGGTGCGAGTTTTCTTGGAAGGTTGGTTTTTCGCAGATTTGGGCGTGGAGCCGCATCTGCGGTGTCGCAGATGCAGCGATGGCATCGCAGATGCGGATTTTAGGCATGTGGGAATTTCCGCAGAAGCGGATGGTAGCCGTAGATGCGGAAGCCGCAGATGCGGATTTGCGACTGCAGAAGAGGTCTTGGCTTAAGAGAATGGCCGCAGAAGCGAAAGAATTCCGCAAAAGCGGAAACCGCAGATGCGGTGCTTGGATCGCAGATGCGAAAAATGTCTGGGCAGAAGGGTTTTAAAGTTTCATTTTGTTCCGCGAGCTAAGCTATTGTTCCACCATTTTTGAGCATCCTTGAGAGCTTTTGGACGGGAATTGAAGGGGATTTCGACTGGGATTGATTGGAGGTGAGTTTTATGAAATAAAAAACATGATTTAATTGTAGAATCAACCTAGAAATTCATGAAAATTAATCAAAAAGGGGGAAAGAACTAGGGCTTGAGTTTTGAAATTTTAAATTGGTTTTGATGGGCATTTGAGCTCGGATTTGGGAGTTCTTGGTATGTATAGACTCGTGGCGAGATAAGGAATCCGCTGATGTAAAATTTTCTGAAATTTGAGAAGTGGGCCCGGGGCTCGGGTTTTGCAAATTTCGTGATTTTCGATGTTTTTCGATTCTTTTCGATTGGGTTATGTTCCCTTAGCCTATTGTGATGTATTCGCTGTGGTTTTGATCAGATACGACGCGCGAGGAGGCCGATTTGGGAGGCAAGGTCATAACGAGCTAGGATTTTGGCCGGCTTGAGGTGAGTAATGATAGTAAATGATGTCCTGAGGGTTTGAAACCCCGGATTTTGCACAACGTAGTGCTATATTGAGGTGAAACACGCGCTTAATGACAACTGCGGGGTTGTTTACTATTGGGGATTGTGACTTGGTCCGTCCCGACTTATGTTTTTACCGCGTATTTGACTGAGATGTGTTTATTGTCAACATGACTTGGGCCTATTGCCATATTTTGGGCTTCATGCCGACTACTTGAATCCTTCGTGTATTTTTATCACTGTTTCCTGAGTATTTTGATATACTACTTGAACTCAGTCATGTTGATTATACTGTTTTACAAACTCAGCCGCTTTAATTGAATTTTGAGACTTAAATGATATTTCCACTGTTGTTTGGGCTGAGCATTACTATCTTATTGATGCCCGAGGGGCTTATGATGTTCTCTGGACTAAGTGAGGCCGAGGGCCATATGTGAGGATATGCTGAGTGATATGAGGCCGAGGGCCTGAGATACATTTATATGATACGAGGTGGCTTGAGTGATGTGAGGAGGCTTTCAAGCCTTATGAGTGATGTGAGAAGGCTTTCAGGCCTTATGTTGATATAGCGCTTGGGCCGCAAGGGGCCCCTCCGGAGTCTGCACACCCACAGTGAGCGCGGGTACCCATATGATCTGAGAGTGAGCCCGAGGGGCTGATATTATGCTGAGTGACTGAGAGTGAGCCCGAGGGGCTGATGCTATGCTGAGTGACTGATACTAAACCGAGGGGCTGATACTGTTCTGAGCAATTGATACTGGGCCCGAGGGGCAGATTTCTACTCACTATTTACTTGTTGTTTTACCTGTTTTAAAAAAAAAAGATTTCATTTGACTCTTTACTGTTTTACGGCTTTAAGTGATTTACTGCCTGATATAGAATTGCCTTGTGCAGTTATGTGTTTTCTTGCCTTCGGTAATTATTTATTGTTATTACTCACTGGGTCGGAGTACTCACATTACTCCCTGCACCATGTGTGCAGATTCAGGCATAGCAGAGTCCGCACCTGAGCACTGATTCCTTCCAGACCAGGCAGCAAGTTGGAGTTACGAGGTAGCTGTTGACGTCCGCAGCCCCTTGTCTCCCTTATCCTCTATCATTTATGTTTCTCTTCAGACTATTGTATCAAATATCATACTTTGTAGACTTATAGCAAACTCTGTAGTAGCTCATGACTTGTGACACCCCGGTTTGGGCTGTGTCGGGATGGTTTCCCTGGTTATTATCGTTGTTTCCGCATTTATGGCTATCCTAAACATGTTTTAGATTTATTAAATGTTAATTTAATTGTTTAAAAAGAGGTATTTGCGTTGTTCTGGCTAGCCTTGTCTTCACGAGAGGCGCCATCACGGCCGGGTTCGGGAATTGGGTCGTGACAAGTTGGTATCAGAGCTTAGGTTACTAGGTCTCACGAGTCATGAGCTGGTTTAGTAGAGTCTCGTGGATCGGTACGGAGACGTCTGTACTTATCCTCGGGAGGCTGCAGAACCTTTAGGAAAACTTCACATTCTTGAAATTCTTATCGTGCGAACTTTTTGATCCGAGTACTAAATTTCTCTTTATTCTATCCTCTCACAGATGGTGAGGACACGAGCTACCCGACGTGGCGGGCGACCACCAGTACCACCCACTGAGGCCTCCAGAGGCCATGGACGCGGTCGTGGTCGTGGCAGAGGCAGGGCAGCAGGGGCAGCGCCTGTTGATCCACCAGTTGCCCCAGCTCAGGATTAGGCTCCAGCAGCACCAGTTCAGGCACCAGCTGCGCCCATCGTGATTCCGGGTCTTCAGGAGGCCTTGGCTCTAATTTTGACAGTTTGCAGCAGTCTGGCTCAAGCAGTTTCAGCCACAGCAGCAGCAGCTACTTCGCAGGCTGGGGGAGGCAATCAGACCCTCGCTGCTCGCACACCTGAGCAGGTAGTGCAGGGATTACAGACTCCAGAGGCACCTCCAGCTCAGCCAGTTGCACCAGTGTAGGAGTTCAGGGTTCCAGCTATGCCTGAGGATGAGTAGCGTCGCCTTGAGAGGTTTGGTAGACTCCAGCCTCTGACATTCAGTGGTGGTGAGGGCGAGGATGCCTAGGGTTTTCTTGATAAGTGTCAGCGGATGCTCCGTATAGCTGGGATTCTTGAGTCTAGTGGTGTGGCATTCACCACCTTTCAGTTTACTGGGCTGCCTTCACTTGGTGGGAGGCATATGAGAGGCGTAGGCCGACTGGTGCAGCACCTTTGACTTGGCAGGAGTTCTCCACTCTCTTCTTGGAGAAGTATGTACCGCAGTCCCGTAGGGAGGAGCTGCGCAGGCAGTTTAAGTGGCTACGGCAGGGAGATATGACTGTGTCTCAGTACGAGATGAGGTTTTTAGAGTTGGCTCGTCATGCCATTTGGATGGTTCCGACTGATCGTGAGCGGATCAGGAGATTTGTTGATGGCCTTAACTACCATCTCCGTGTTCTTATGACTAGAGAGAGAGAGTATTGGGTGCTACATTCGAGGAGGTGGTTGATATAGCTCGAGAGATTGAGGCGGTTCGCCGTCAGGATCGAGAGGAGAGGGAGGCCAAGAGGCCTCGAGGTTCTGGCAGTTACAGTGGCGCTCCTTCGAGGGTCCAGTTCCAGCATGGTAGGGGTCGTTCTTTCAGACCCGCTCAGTCAGCCCGTCCCGAGTATCGTGGGGCATCTTCAGGTCGTGGTTATCATGGTTCTCAGCAGGGTCAGCCTTCACTCAGCGCTTTTCCAGCACAGAGTTCATCTCGTGCCCCGTCTGTTCAGAGTTCTTCCAGGCCGAGTGCGTCAGCTAGTCACTCCGGCGCGGGGGGTTCCCTTCAGTCCCATTCTCCAGCACCTGGGAGTTGTTTTGAGTGCGGAGAGTTTGGACATATGTGGAGGCAGTGTCCTCGTCGTGCTGCTAGCTCATCTCAACGGAGGGGTCAGCCCTCTTCTTCTGGTACAGTTTCTTCAGCACCCGCCCAGCCAGCTAGGGGTGAGGGTCAGGCATCCAGGGTCGCCCCAGAGGTGGAGGTCTATCAGGCGGTGGTCAGGCTCATTTTTATGCTCTTCCAGGCAGGTCAAATGCCATTGCTTCAGATGCTATCATTACAGGTATTGTTTCAGTCTGCCACAGAGATGCTTCAGTCTTATTTGATCCCGGTTCCACCTATTCTTATGTGTCCTCATATTTTACTCATCATTTGGGTACGTCCCGAGGGTGTCTTGCTTCACCTGTTCATGTATCTACCCCGGTGGGCGATACTATTGTTGTAGACCATGTGTATCGGTCATGTTTGGTGACTATTGGGGGTCTGGAGACCCGAGTTGATCTATTGCTATTGAGCATGGTGGATTTTGATGTTATTTTGGGCATGGACTGGTTATCTTCGTGTCATGCTATTCTAGACTGTCATGCTAAGATAGTCACTTTGGCTATACCGGGTGTACCGAGATCGAGTGGCATGGTGTGACTGATTATGTTTCTAGTAGGGTGATTTCATTCTTAAAGGCCCAGCGTATAGTTGGTAAGGGTTGCCTTTCATATCTAGCTTTTGTGAGGGATGTTGGAGCCGAGACTCCTAGCATTGATTCTGTCCCAGTTGTGAGGGAGTTTCCCGATGTATTTCCTGCAGACCTGCCGGGTATGCCACCGGAAAGGGATATCAATTTTGGTATTGACCTGGTGCCGGGCACTCAACCCATTTCCATTCCGCCATATCGTATGGCACCAGCGGAGTTGAAAGAATTGAAGGAACAGCTTCAGGAACTCCTAGATAAAGGGTTCATTCGGCCTAGTGTGTCACTGTGGAGTGCACCGGTTCTATTTGTGAAGAAGAAGGATGGCACCATGAGAATGTGCATTGACTACAGGCAATTGAACAAAGTAACAGTGAAGAACAAGTATCCTCTGCCTCGCATTGATGATTTATTTGACCAGCTTCAGGGAGCGAGGCTGTTCTCCAAGATTGATCTCCGTTCGGGCTATCACCAGTTGAAGATCAGGGATTCAGATGTTATGAAAACTGCTTTCAAGACTAGATATGGGCACTATGAGTTTCTTGTTATGTCTTTTGGGCTGACCAATGCCCCAGCAGCGTTCATGCATTTGATGAAGTGTATTTCGGCCTTATCTGGACTCGTTCGTTATTGTTTTTATTGATGATATCCTGGTGTACTCGCGTAGTCAGGAGGAACATGCGCAGCATTTGCGAGTTGTATTGCAAAGATTGAGGGAGGAGAAGCTTTATGCGAAGTTCTCCAAGTGTAAGTTTTGGCTCAGTTCAGTGGCTTTCTTGGGGCACGTGGTGTCCAGCGAGGGTATTCAGGTCGACCCGAAGAAGATAGAGGCGGTGCAGAGTTTGCCTAGACCGACCTCAGCCACAGAGATTTTCCTCTATTGCATCGCCCTTGACCAAGTTGACTCAGAAGGGGGCTCCATTTGTATGGTCGGACGAGTGCGAGGAGAGCTTTCAGAAGCTCAAGACAGCTTTGACCTCAGCTCCAGTATTGGTTTTGCCATCAGCTTCAGGTTCTTATACCGTATATTGTGATGCTTCGAGAGTTGGGATTGGATGTGTATTGATGCAGGAGGTTAGAGTTATTGCCTATGCTTCTCGTCAGTTGAAGCCCCACGAGAAGAACTACCCTGTACATGATTTGGAGTTGGCTGCTATAGTTCATGCTTTGAAGATTTGGAGGCACTACTTGTATAGCGTATCCTGTGAGGTATTCACCGATCATCGCAGTCTTCAGCATTTGTTCAAGCAAAAGGATCTTAATTTGAGGCGGCGGAGGTGGCTAGAGTTACTTAAGGATTATGATATTACCATTCTGTATCACCCGGGGAAGGCCAATGTAGTGGCCGATGCTTTGAGCCGAAAGGCAGTGAGTATGGAGAGTTTGGCATATATTCCAGTTAGGGAGAGGCCCTTTGCAGTTGATGTTCAGGCCTTGGTCAATCGGTTGGTGAGACTAGATATTTCGGAGCCTAGTCGGGTGTTGGCTTGTGTGGTTTCTCGGTCTTCCTTATATGATCGCATCAGAGAGCGCCAGTATGATGATCCGTATTTGCTTGTCCTTAAGGACATGGTTCAGCATGATGATGCCAGAGACGTGACCATTGGTGAGGATGGTGTGTTGAGGATGCAGGGCCGGACTTGTGTGCCCAATGTGGATGGGCTTCGAGAGTTGATATTGGAGGAGGCCCATAGATCGCGGTATTCCATTCATCCGAGTGCCGCGAAGATGTATCAGGATTTGAGGCAGCACTATTGGTGGAGAAGAATGAAGAAAGATATTGTGGGATTTGTGGCTCGGTGTCTCAATTGTCAACAGGTGAAATATGAGCATCAGAGACCTGGTGGATTGCTTCAGCAGATGGATATTCCCGAGTGGAAGTGGGAGAGGATTACTATGGACTTTGTTGTTGGACTTCCTCGGACTTTGAGGAAATTTGATACTATTTGGGTGATTTTTGATCGGCTGACCAAGTCCGCGCACTTCATCCCTGTGTGTACTACCTATTCTTTAGAGCGATTGGCAGGGATTTATATCCGGGAGATTGTCCGGTTGCACGGTGTTCCGGTTTCTTTCATCTCAGATAAAGGTACTTAGTTTACTTACGCAGTTTTGGAGAGCCGTGCAGAGAGAGTTGGGTACTCAGGTGGAGTTGAGCACAGTGTTTCATCCGCAGACGGACGGACAGTCCGAGCGTACCATTCAGATATTGGAAGACATGTTATGTGCCTGTGTTATTGATTTTGGAGGTTCTTGGGATGAGTTTTTGCCGCTTGCAGAGTTTGCCTACAACAACAGTTATCAATCGAGCATTCAGATGGCCTCGTATGAGGCGTTGTATGGGAGGCGATGTAGATCTCCAGTTGGTTGGTTCGAGCCCGGCGAGGCTAGACTATTGGGGACAGAGTTGGTTCAGGATGCCTTGGAGAAGGTGAAGCTGATTCAGGAGAGGCTTCGTACAGCACAGTCGCGTCAGAAGAGTTATGCAGACCGGAAGGTTCGAGATGTGTCTTATATGGTTGGTGAGAAGGTCTTGCTGAAGGTTTTGCCCATAAAGGGTGTTATGCGGTTTGGAAAGAAAGGGAAGTTGAGTCCGCGGTTTATTGGGCCTTTTGAGGTACTTAGGAGGATTGGGGAGGTGGCTTATGAGCTTGCCTTGCCACCCAGCTTGTTGGGCGTGCATCCGGTATTTCATGTATCTATGCTCCGGAAGTATGTTGGGGACCCGTCCCATGTATTGGACTTCAACACGGTTCGTTGGATGATGATTTGACCTATGATGTGGAGCCAGTGGCTATTTTGGGTCGTCAGGTTCGAAAGTTGAGATCAAAGGATATAACTTCGGTGAAAGTGCAGTGGAGAGGTCGGCCCGTGGAGGAGGCTACCTGGGAGACCGAGCGGGAGATGCGGAGCAGATATCCTCACCTGTTTGAGGCTTCAGGTATGTTTCTTGACCCGCTCGAGGACGAGCATTTGTTTTAGTTGGGGAGGATGTGACGACCCGACCCGTCGTCACGTGAGTTACCGCTTCGTTTTTCCTATTTTCAGCTTCTTTATGCTTCGTTATCCGTATCTTATGTGATCGAGCTGGTTGGGGAGGTTTTGGTAGGAAATGAGACACTTAGTCTCTTTAAGGAAGGTTTGGTTTGGAAAAGTCAACCGAATGTTGACTTACAAGTTAGAGGGCTCGGATGTGATTTCCGGTGATTCGGTTAGCTTTGGGGGATGATTTGTGACTTAGGAGCGTGATCGGAAGTGATTTTGGAGGTCCGGTGTAGAATTAGGCTTGAATTGGCGAAGTTAGTATTTTGGCGAAGTTAGTATATACGACGAGGTATTGAAAATACTGTAGATTCCAACACAAAGGATCACAACAGTAAGGAATTTAAACAGTTTAAACACTTGAATTGATAACAACAAATAAACACAGCAAATAGAAAGTGCACGGCATCACCCTTCGTGCTTTATCACTCTTCCTCACCATATCCATAAATAGAAATGTGCATGGCATCACCCTTCGTGCTTTTACTCTGAACAATGTGGCACGGCATCACCCTTCGTGCTTTTACTCTCAATAATGTAGCACGACATCACCCTTCGTGCTTTTACTCTCAATAATGTGGCACGGCATCACCCTTCGTGCTTTTACTCTCAATAATGTGGCACGACATCACCCTTCGTGCTTTTACACTCGCAATATTGGCACGGTATCAACCTTCGTGCATTAACACTCACAATATCGGCATGGTATCACCCTTCGTGCATTAACACTCACTCACAATATCATGTACGCAAGTTGATACACATAATATGAAACTGCTCGTGACCTCAAACTGCCGAACCAGACGCAATTGCTCAAAACAACCAGTCGGGTCGTTACGGACGCCCAACATGGCGGCGGCCTGAATATCGGTAGATTGAGGACAAAGTTTGGGGCTGAGGAACTTGAAGAGTCTGTTACCTTTTTTTCCATTGTATTTCAACGTATCTCCCTGTATTCCATGTATTTTATTTTATTCACTGTCTTTAGTTTTTTCTACTTTTTCAATATATATTCACTGTATTTAACTGTATTCAATGTAGTTATATAATTTCAAAGCTTCACTTTGTTTCATTATTTTGTCTAGCAGTATATATTCAACACTATGTATTCAATGTATTGTAGAATGTATTCATATATTTTTTTAATTAATATAATTTATGTATTCAGATGTATATATGTATTCAAATGTATCTGCACTATGTATTCATATGTATTTCACTATAGATGACCTGCTATACTTCATGTATTCAATGTACTTTTATGTATTTAACTGTATTCAATGTAATTATATAATTTTAATATATAAATCTATTTGTAAAGATACCACTAAAAAATATTTTAGAAAGATACCACTAAAAAAAGAAAGGATGGATTGAATCTCTGAGATTGCACTGTTTTTACGGAGTTTTTCGGTTGAGAATCTTTTCTATAACTGAAAATACAAATTTTGTGTGTTATATTTGAGTTTGTTGAGTTATATTAGGAGTCTATCGTGTTAATTGATTCACTTACCGTTTTTAAACAGCTGAAGAACTTTTTTTTCGCAAATTCCGTACTGTATTCACAAATACAGCTCGCGAATACAGTCGAATACATTCTCTGCTTAGCTGGACTCCCCTGTTTTCTGCCGAGCTTTGCTACTGTATTAATGAATACAGTAGCAAAAATACATAGAATACAGTCTATAGCAACTGGAAACATAGCTATAGGAAGTAATTTAGTAAATGGTAGCTATAGCAAACTAATAATCACTAAAACATAGTGGTTTCTGAATATTTCTCTATTTATAACTAAGTTACACATTTGGCCGGTCGGCCAAAAATAATTATATTTGTTAGTTAAATATACAAGAAATATACATTGCTTATGTATAAGATATGTATACCATATATTAATAGAATATATATATATATAATATTATATATATATGTTATATATATATATATAATTATATATATATATATTATATATAATAATATATATATATATCCAGGCTATTTTTTTAGAGGGCATACTGTGTAGTTTCTGCGGAAAGAAAAAAAAAATGGTTGATTAGTAAAATAAGTGATCTTTGTTGTATTTCTTAAACGTATTATTTTGTCAAATGACTTGAATAAATAGGAGAAAAAGTATATAAGAGGATCGTATAATACTAAGCAAAAAAATAAAATAGCGATATAAAATTAAACAGTTGTGATATTAACTTTGAAAGACGAGAAAATGCCTATTAATATATCTCCTAGAGGGTGTTGTGCGTCGAGCTATACACCCGGTATCAGCTATTCCGCAAACGCGATACGACATGGATATCTTATTGAATAATAAACCCTTCGAAATTCATAACAAAGCATCTTCCAAAAATGAGTGTCAAAACCAATCGTGACTTTTTACCACAATATAATTATATAATCAAGATTACACTAACCTTTACTAATTTAGAATTGAGTCAAAGAAGCATGATGAGAATCAAAGAATTGAGCTGAAACAACTAATAGAAAGTGAAGAAATGATGGATTATCATAATTTAAAATCTATCAAGTTGAGTTTACTTGAATCATAACATACTATTTTTGTATAAAAAAAAATAAATTATTAGCCACATAGTTGTAAAAACTTTTACACAGTCGAAAATTATTAGGGGCTTAGGTGGGTTCACACTTCCGTTTGGATTCAATTTTGTTTAAAAAAAAACCAATCAAACGTTTTAAACTTGAACCAAATATAACAGCGACATAATCATTCGATTTTTGTCGATTATTTTTTGCTTAATCAACGTAAACCAAATAAAACAAAAAAATGGTTTTTTTTCGTTTTCTTCATTTTTGTTAGTCTTCAATTTTTTTACTGGAATACCTATTTATAGTTAATTAAATATTTGATTTGTAAATACTTTGACGTAGTCAATGCACGTCATTGCAATGACTTACTTCCTTCTTCTTCTTTGTGTGCTACTTCTCATGGAATATATATCAATATTTTAAGAGACTAGATTTTAAACTCGGTTTCAATTCATTTAAATTTTGATCTAAAATGTAAATTAAAAACTATTGCTAGACATCTAACACAATGTAGTAAAAAAAAAAAACAAATATTATCATGATATCTTAGATATATATTAAAAAGTTAGTACATGCTCTAATCAATTCCAAAATTTGAGGACCACTCATAAAACTGGCTAGGTAAATCTGAACTCAAGATTCCTCAATTACTCCATCAAATAATTTCCCAAACTTGTACATGTGATATAAGCTATATGTTTATATATATAAATGACTTTACCATATTTCTAAACTTTGACAAATCATAAACTAATTTTAGTATTACACTCTGTATTTTTCCCCTATACTAAGAAGCATCCTTCTAGTTTTATTTCCTACACTTTTATTTCAAATTTAGTTTCTTATTGCTTTTTTTCATGATGCTAACTTTGTTCATGTTTGTATTTGTTGTATAGGTAATGACTACCTTTCAAATAATAGGTATTTCTCCTCAATTCATTAATCTATGGGTTACTTTTAACATTATTATTGTTATTTTTTCGTATTACTTCAAATAATGAAGTATCCCTATGCTTATGGCATGCATTAGGAAATAAACCAATCCTTTTTCTGGTCACGTAATTTATATAGACGAGTTTAAGTTCTATGTATTATTGATATACAAATATTTATGTAACTCGATTACTTAAAATGTAATTATAGGTAACCCTCTTTTATTAATATTGATTGGTCGCTTGAAAAAATAGTCAACAAACTATTAGAATTGATTAAACTATATCGATAACGTAAAATCTTATGTAGAATAGGTGCTTTAGTTTCAAAGGGTGTCAACTTGGGTACTTATGTAATGGCGGAGGCACGACTAATGAAGGGGTTCAATTGAATCCCTTTCGTTGGAGTACTGTGTAAATAATGCGAGAATAACAATTTTCTATGCATATAAACTTTTGAATCTTTCCCCGACATAGAAAAAATTTCCATTTTAGTGACATAAGTAGTTTAGAAAATTGGTTTAGGTCGCAAGTATGAACTTTTTGAATCCCTTTATTACAATTTTTGGCTGATTCTACAATAAATTTATTTTTTTATGATGCAGAGGCACAACCTATTGGAGTATGCTATGGGAGAAATGGTAACAACTTACCATCAGCACAAGATGTTGTAAATTTTTATAAAGCTAATGGCATAACAAATATGAGAGTTTATGATCCAATTGCTGAAACACTGACTGCTCTTAAGGGAAGTAACATTGAAATAATTGTTGATATTCCTAATGATAATCTTCAAGCTTTAACAGATCCAAATGCAGCTGCAAATTGGGTTAATGCAAATATTGTGGCTTATTCCCCAGATGTTAAGTTCAAATATATTAATGTTGGAAATGAAGTATCCCCTAGTAATGTTGCAACATCTAAATTTGCTCCCTTTCTTCTCCCCGCGTTGCAAAACGTGCAACAGGCGATAACGAAATTTCAACTTCAAGTTAAGGTCTCAACGGCTATAGAGACGGGTATTTTGACGAACACATATCCTCCTTCTGAGTCAGTATTTAGAGGCGATATAAGCGATTTCATTAACCCACTTATCGGGTTCCTGAAACAGAATAACTTGCCTGTCTTAGCAAATATATATCCATATTTTGGTTATCTTGGCGATCCTGCTCATGTGCCACTCCCTTATGCACTATTTACACAACAAAATCCTGATCCATCAGGCTATCATAATCTTTTCGACGCTATGTTGGATGCAACTTATTATGCAGTTGAGAAAGCTGGCGGAGAAAACTTGCCAATTGTTGTTTCGGAAAGTGGATGGCCATCTGCTGGTGGAGATGGAGCAAGCATAGATAATGGCGGAACTTATTACACTAATTTGATTAGTCATGTGAAGTCAGGTGCAGGAACTCCACACAAGCCTGGAACTGCTATAGAAACTTATTTGTTTGCTATGTTTGATGAAAATATTAAGATCGGGGCCGAGACTGAGAAGCATTTTGGAGTTTTCCATCCTGATAAAACTCCCAAGTATAATCTTAAATTCTAGAAAAGGATTTGATTTTACAAAATTTGTAATTCTTCAATGATTTTAGGTGAAAACTACTGTCTCAATAAAATTTTTTGTTATGTATGGAAGAATACATGAAAGAAGTTAGTTCCTGAAATATGTCGTTCATATCTATATGCCTACCACCTTTATTAAAATTTATTTATGCAGTCTAATTAATTGTTTAATTGCTTATTTGTTCTTTATGTTTACTCCTATATATGTATTCTATAAATTCTAGCACGTCGTTAATCTAAAAGAATTGCGAAAAGGAATAGTGAATCATATTGAAGTTTCAACGGTTATTGGTGGAAACAAGAAAAGAGAAAAGAAAAATAAACGATTAAATCTTAACGAAAAAACATGAAACTTGTTCTATTTAGCTTTTCATGACTTGATATATAAAATATGTAAATGTTAACAAGTGATACACGTGTAACACACACGTGACTAGTGACTAGTTATTTCTAAAATGATCTAGTTTGATTTCCTTGTTTCAACTCGGGAGCTTTACACGAGCCGGTCGAATTCAATAATTATTTTTTTCTAGTCGTATGCAAAGATTATGTACTGATTGTATATGGTTATACATATATTATACATGGACAATGAATATATTATACATTCGCTGGTTATTTTTAATTTAAGAAATCTGTTTTTAGTATAGATTTTAAGTTTGTATCATCTACTAATGGTGATTAAGCCTCTTCCAAAAAGAGTTTTCAAAGTCAAAGTGCACCAATGGGTATATAATAAAGTTTTTACCAAACTATAATTATACAGTAAAGATTACACTAATTTTACTCAGTTAGAATTTAGTCAAAGAAGCAATATAATGGATGAGAATCGAGACTGAGTGAAACAAGTAGGTAACCTAAGACGTTCAATGTTTTTGTCCTTGTGTTTTAAGGTTAGTTTCTTGATGTTCTTCGAAAACAAGTATAATATCCATTTGTTCAAATCAAGAACATCAAGAACCCTCCTACATGACTTGAAATCAGGAATACAAACTTTAAATCTCTCTATTCGACCAAGATGAAACATAAGAGACTTGGTGACAATTTTATCAAATTGATACATATATTCACGGTATTCATCAAATCGATATACACGAGATTTCTTTCTTGCAATGTCTTTAAGTTCTTTGCAGAATTCTTCATCAAAAACTAACTCTGGAATGTTCAAGTAGTAAAATCTCCACTTCTTTAATTTGATAACACACTCGTTCTTACAGCATCACGTATAAGCATTTTCCCAAGAATACAATATATTACATCAGTTGGCAAGTTGCTGATTATATCTTCTCGGCTTCTGCCTCTTTCATACCTGTTAGAGACATAAAGGGCAGCCCGGTGCACTAAGCTCCCGCTATGCGCGGGGTCCGGGGAAGGGCCGGACCACAAGAGTCTATCGTACGCAGCCTTATCCTGCAAATTTGCAAAATATTGTGAGATTGAAGTTTTAGGTTTTAAAGATCATGAGTCAAGGCGGTTTNAATGTGTCAACTAGAGATTCATCTACAATTCCCTGTATGGAAAAGAAAGAAAATACATTTCAATACGTTGATAATACTTTTTAAAACAGACTAAGAAAGAAAGTTTCAGCAGAAACAATACTAGATTGGCTGAGAACCAAGAAATTTAGCATATACTCATTAATGTGGACTTTTTACCAAATTATAATTATATAATCAAGATTACACTAACCTTTACTAATTAGAATTGAGTCAAAGAAGCAATGGATGAGAATCAAGATTGAGTGAAACACTAATAGAAAGTGAGTAAATGATGGATTATCATAATTTAAAATCTTTCAAGTTTGAGTTTACTTGAATCATAACATCTATTTTTTTTTTTTAAAAAAAAAAAATTATTAGCCAATAGTGGTGTAAAAACTTTTACACAGTCGGTAAATTATTAGGGCCTTAGGGGTGTTCATCATTCCGTTTGGATCAATTTTTGCTTAAAAAAAAACCAAATCAACGTTTTAATACTTGAACCAAATATAACAGAAACTATATCGATTCGATTTTTGTCGATTATTTTTTGCTTAAAATCAAACGTAAACCAAATAAAACAAAAAAATGGTTTTTTTTTCGTTTTCATTCAATTTTTGGTTAGTCTTCAATTTTTTTTTTACCGTGAATAACCTATTTATAGTTAATTAATAATTTGATTGTGTAAATATTTTTTACGTAGTCAATGCACGTCGTGAATGACTACTTCTTCTTCTTCTTTGTTGTGCTACTTCTCGTGGAATATATATCAATATTTTAAAATTGACATAGCATTTAAACTGCGGTTTCAAATTCATTTAAATTTTGATCTAAAATGTAAATAAACTATTGCTAGACATCTAACACAATGTAGTAAAAAAAAAAACATAATATTATCATGATATTAGATATATATTAAAAAGTTAGTCATGCTCTAATCATATTCCAAAATTCTGAGGGACCACTCATAAATAATGGAGTAGTAAATCTGAACTCAAATTCTCAATTACTCCATCAAATAATTTCCAATACTGTACATGTGATATAAGCTTATATGTTTATATATTAAATGACTTTACATATTTCTAACTTTGACCAAATTGCAGTAACTAATTTTAGTATTACACTCTAGTCATTTTTCCCCTATATAAGAAGCCATCCTCTAGTCTTTTTCCTACACTTTACATTTCATAATTTGTTTCTTATTGCTTTTTCATGATGGCTAACTTGTTCATGTTTGTATTTGTTGGTATGGTAATGACATACCTTCAAATAATAGGTATTTTCTCCTCATCTCATTATCTTGGTTTTACTTTTAACATTTTATTGTTATTATTTTTTTCTATACCTTCAAATAATGAAGTATCCCCTATGCTTTATGCATGATTAGGAAATAAACCAAATCACTTTTTCTGTCACGTAATTTATATAGACGAGTTTAAGTTCTATGTATTATTGATATACAAATATTTATGTAACTCGATTACTTAAAATGTAATTATAGGTAACCCTCTTTTATTAATATTGATTGGTCGCTTGAAAAAATAGTCAACAAACTATTAGAATTGATTAAACTATATCGATAACGTAAAATCTTATGTAGAATAGGTGCTTTAGTTTCAAAGGGTGTCAACTTGGGTACTTATGTAATGGCGGAGGCACGACTAATGAAGGGGTTCAATTGAATCCCTTTCGTTGGAGTACTGTGTAAATAATGCGAGAATAACAATTTTCTATGCATATAAACTTTTGAATCTTTCCCCGACATAGAAAAAATTTCCATTTTAGTGACATAAGTAGTTTAGAAAATTGGTTTAGGTCGCAAGTATGACCTTTTTGAATCCCTTTATTACAATTTTTGGCTGATTCTACAATAAATTCATTTATTTACACTATGCAGAGGCACAACCTATTGGAGTATGCTATGGGAGAAATGGTAACAACTTACCATCAGCACAAGATGTTGTAAATTTTTATAAAGCTAATGGCATAACAAATATGAGAGTTTATGATCCAATTGCTGAAACACTGACTGCTCTTAAGGGAAGTAACATTGAAATAATTGTTGATATTCCTAATGATAATCTTGAAGCTTTAACAGATCCAAATGCAGCTGCAAATTGGGTTAATGCAAATATTGTGGCTTATTCCCCAGATGTTAAGTTCAAATATATTAATGTTGGAAATGAAGTATCCCCTAGTAATGTTGCAACATCTAAATTTGCTCCCTTTCTTCTCCCCGCGTTACAAAACGTGCAACAGGCGATAACGAAATTTCAACTTCAAGTTAAGGTCTCAACGGCTATAGAGACGGGTATTTTGACGAACACATATCCTCCTTCTGAGTCAGTATTTAGAGGCGATATAAGCGATTTCATTAACCCACTTATCGGGTTCCTGAAACAGAATAACTTGCCTGTCTTAGCAAATATATATCCATATTTTGGTTATCTTGGCGATCCTGCTCATGTGCCACTCCCTTATGCACTATTTACACAACAAAATCCTGATCCATCAGGCTATCATAATCTTTTCGACGCTATGTTGGATGCAACTTATTATGCAGTTGAGAAAGCTGGCGGAGAAAACTTGCCAATTGTTGTTTCGGAAAGTGGATGGCCATCTGCTGGTGGAGATGGAGCAAGCATAGATAATGGCGGAACTTATTACACTAATTTGATTAGTCATGTGAAGTCAGGTGCAGGAACTCCACACAAGCCTGGAACTGCTATAGAAACTTATTTGTTTGCTATGTTTGATGAAAATATTAAGATCGGGGCCGAGACTGAGAAGCATTTTGGAGTTTTCCATCCTGATAAAACTCCCAAGTATAATCTTAAATTCTAGAAAAGCATTTGATTTTACAAAATTTGTAATTCTTCAATGATTTTAGGTGAAAACTACTGTCTCAATAAAAATTTGTTATGTATGGAAGAATACATGAAAGAAGTTAGTTCCTGAAATATGTCGTTCATATCTATATGCCTACCACCTTTATTAAAATTTATTTATGCAGTCTAATTAATTGTTTAATTGCTTATTTGTTCTTTATTTATTAGTAATGTTTACTCCTCTATATGTATTCTATAAATTCTAATACGTCGTTAATCTAAAAGAATTGCGAAAAGGAATAGTGAATCATATTGAAGTTTCAACGGTTATTGGTGGAAACAAAAAAAGAGAAAAGAAAAATAAACGATTAAATCTTAACGAAAAAACATGAAACTTGTTCTATTTAGCTTTTCATGACTTGATATATAAAATATGTAAATGTTAACAAGTGATACACGTGTAACACACGCGTGACTAGTGACTAGTTATTTCTAAAATGATCTAGTTTGATTTCCTTGTTTCAACTCGGGAGCTTTACACGAGCCGGTCGAATTCAATAATTATTTTTTTCTAGTCGTATGCAAAGATTATGTACTGATTGTATATGGTTATACATATATTATACATGGACAATGAATATATTATACATTCGCTGGTTATTTTTAATTTAAGA